AAGAATGCCTCACCAAAAAGCTGGCGAGTTGTAACACTGTTGGCTCCTTTGAGCACATGTGGCTGAACTGTCCTAAAATTAACTGTTGGAATGTTATATTAGCAAAAAATTATTCTATTGTAAAACAAAAGGTAATTTTTTGTCCAGGCCTTCTGTTATTATCCATCTATTGTAAAGAAAACAGTCATTTAAAACATTGCAAACTCATCACATTTCTTATTGCAGCAGTTAGGAATATAACTGCGAGAAACTGGATAACAGGGAATGCACAAACAACTGACTGCTGGACAAAGGTTTGGGATACTTGGTTAATGGAAAAACTTTCCAACATCTTTAGACTCTAATGGACAAAGGAAACCACACACTTTTTTGGAAGACTGCTCAATTTTTATTGACTACATTAACAACAACTCTCCTGACATCGGACCTCTTACTCATCAGATTATCCTTTACAAGGACACTCTTAACCCACCAACCAGCAAAGCTTGAGCGATGATTTAAAATACTACCCCTAACCAGATTGTGGGTCCAAAACACACTGTAGAAATAATCCAGTTTGAGACTGCTTTAATTGCCCTGGCTCAATGCTAGGGAATTTTGGGAACTGTAGTTTTGTGAGACATTTAGCCTTCTCTGTCAGGTGCCACAATAAACTACAATTCCCAGAATTCCCTGGGAATCCTCAGATGCATCTGAGGAAGTAGACTGAAGTCTACGAAAACTCATGCTGCCAATTTCTTTCTGTTAGTCTCAAAGGTGCTACAAGATCTCTCTAGACACTGATTCTACAGACTAACACAGCTATATCTTTCAAGTTTAATGAGGTTCACTCTCAATTAGAGGTATACAGGACTGCAGCTTCTGCACAATTATGATATAAAACAGTTCAGTATAATTAGGTAGCCAGGTTCATTGCCACTCCTTTATTATTTACTGCACTTCTTTTCTAAATAGCGAACAGGCAGAAACTTCACTTTTTAAGGTTATTATACTGTTAACAATAAACATTATTTAAACAACAAATAGCAACAAGAACTATATAAATGCTACAAAGCAAACTGAAAAACTACAAAACTAGTTAAATCAAATTAGCCAATACAAGGTCACTAAAGACAAACTGGTTATATAAATAATTGACTGCATACTACTAAAATGATATTTTATATATACACTGTACACACTGATTTTTGATACTATGGGCACCCTTTTTATATATATAAATGTCCACACAGTGTTGTTGGAGACACATTTTAAACTTAAGTAGGTATAAAGGATTAGTCTACATTTGCAACTGAAAACATGGCTCAGCACTATGGAATTCTGGGGACTGTAGTTTGTTGTGGCACCAGAACTTTTCCTAAGGGCCAGACTTAGAGATTCCTAGACATAACACCTCTCTAGGCATTGCCCTACAATATTAAACTGCTCTATTCTTCCTAAAATCAAGAAAACCATGATTTGGCACCTTAGTTCATATCTACTTGGTATGAACCTTTTAAAAATCAAATTGCTGAAGAGACACAGAACTAGACAAACAGGTAAATTTTAATGGTATTTTGATGCAATGTTTCTTTAATTGCATTTTAACTATTTTACTATTATTTTTTTAGGTAATTTTATTTTTAGCTTCTGTGAGCCATCTTGGGTCCTGTGTTAGGAGAATGGTGGCACATTAAATAAATAAATTCAAGGTTCATCGAAATTTTACACCACTAACCAAGTACAGTTCCCATCACTAAAGAGTGGGAATTAATTGGGAGGAGGTACTTAGTTCTGCTTAGCTATGGTCATTGGCAGAACTTGGAGAAGTCATTGTTTTTCTACAACACCCAGAACCCCTGAGGAAACATGGGTTCCAGAAATTACTTTTTTAAGCTATGAATCAGAGCCATGCTTCATGATGCACTCACTGGGTAGGAGACCCATAAATAGCAAATGCTGACATGTCACATTCACAACTCATAAATCACCTTTGGTCCTGGCCAAGCTATTCACCTATATAGCCAATAACCTGCAGGCAAAGAAAGATCTAATTAAAAATAACTACTCCACCCATAGCAATTCAAAAACACTTTAAAACTAAGTAGGAACAATTTACACATCACTGTAGATGTATCCAAAAACACAATAGACTTTAATATCAAATATCAATATATTTTGTATTACTATGTTTTTAACAATAACCCAGTAGAAGAGATTCTAGACCAATCACTTTCAAATCCTTTGAGGGTTTTGTCTAAAAATAAATTAAAATAAATCCTTCACTTTTATACAACTTCACTGACTTTATTCTGTCCAAATAAGAAAAACCACAACAAAATGGAGAATCAAAGGAACAAGAAAGCATTCAGCACTTTTAATAACAGAGTTTCTCAGCTCAACACTGTGCATAAAAATGGATGCTGACCACAAAATTAAATTTCAAGCTTAAGAGTTTTAAAGAGAAGCATCATTCTTTGAACTAACCAAGCAGATTCCATCTTTGTGTCATCGGTTTTTATGCTTCCAATGTCCAATTTACTAGTTTCTTTATGAATCAACCAAATTAGAAAGTAAAATTCTATCATTAGCAGCCATCTGGGGTAAACGTACAGCATGAACTTGTTGTGTGCCTTCAAATAATTTTTGACTTATGGTGACCTTAAAACAACCTCAATACAGGATTTTCTTGGCAAGATTTGTTCAGAGGGGGTTTGCTTTTAAAGCTGAGAGTGTGTGACTTGCCCAAGGTCATTCACTAGGTTTCCATGACTGAACAGGGATTTGAACCACGGTCTCCAGCATTGTAGTCTGGTGCTCAAACCACTACATCACACTGGCTCCACTGTATGAACTACAGAGATATATTTAAAATAATAAGTTTCTTCAACAGCCGAATTTTACTCAAGATAATAGCAAATGCTAAAAAGAGTAGTAGCTACATATTTCTTACTGCTTTCAGCCTCCTCAAAGCAATTTTAGAATTACATTGAAGAGATGACACTGGTTTATGAGATAAGGAAATACAATATTTAGACATTTGACAGAATCTCACTTAGGGCCTTTACAGATTGCCAGAAATAATCCAGCTTGAGACCACTTTAACTGCCTTGACTCAGTGCTAGGGAATCATGGAACTGTAATTTTTTCTGGGACATTGAGCCTTCTCTGTCAGAGAGCTCTGGTGCCACAATAAACTACAGTTCCCATGATTCCCTAACACTGAGCCAGGGCAGTTAAAGTGGTCTCAAGCTGGATTATTTCTGGCAGTCTGTAAAGGCCCTTAAATAATTATTACTAAGTCCAGCAAGACAGACTCTAGCAGAATCAAGATATTTATTTTTTCAAAATGCTTTTTTTTTCATAGACTCAACAGCTTACATACAACAAGAATGCACTGTAATACATGCAAAGTAAGTTTCTATAAATGGGAAGTCTCCTTTCTGAAGATTCAGGTTTCTTTCAGTAATTGTGGTGCCAAATTTATCTTCTGCTGTGTTACTGACTTTCAAGTGGCAGCTACAGCTGGATCAGTTATCATTATTAATAGTAACAGCAGCAGTAATAATAATAGTATCCCACTTTTCTCTCAAGCAGGCAGCTTACAATTTTAAAAGGAACAATACAACTAAAAACATACAAAAAGAGAATATTAAAATTGAATTAAATTAATCACAGTATTAAAACCATTCCAATCTGCACTTTAAAAGATAAAATAGAATTTAAAAGATAAAAAACTATTAAGCTATAGTCAGGAACCTTTTTATTGTAATTTTTCAGGTGCTCTTGCTGTAAATTACCAGCATTATTTGTTATGTGGGAGGGAACTTGGTAATGCATTAATAATATGTTACCTTTTTGGCTACTTAAAAAAAATCTAAAAAATATAAAAATGGTGCAAATTACCCCCTAAATAATATTTTAGCAGTGATGAGTAAACACTGATGAGTAAACACAGATCATAATGCAAAGAGAACTTGTAGCACCTTTGAGACTGATGGGTAGAACAGATGGGCAGGAAAAAGCGTCTGGAACCTGAATTTTCCAGAAGCAGGTCGAACCCTCACTGTCTGCTCCAGCTGCTCTCAAGGTGGCCCAAATGTGTATGATGCCATGTGGTCAGGCCATGCGCATTTGGGCCACCTTGGGAGCAGCTGGTACTGACAATGAGGGTTCAACCCGCTTACAAAAAATGCAAGTTCCAAATGCTTTTTCCTGCCCATCTGTTCCACCCATCAGTTGTTAGTCTCAAAGATGCAATGAGGTAGGTCCCTTTACGTTATGAACAGGGTTTACTCATCGTTGCTAAAATATTGCTTGGAGGGGGGGATTTGCGCCATTTTTTAATTTTATTTTTTGTTGCCTCCCCACCCTGCATGAGCACCATCACACAAATACACCAACGGTGGCTGCCTGCTACCTACATGCCATTGGATGGCCACCCCTTTGATCAGCCATACAGTCACACCTGCGATTCTCCACCAGTACAGGGCATCAGAGTATTAGTGTGGCAAAACACAATCATGCCCCTCACATGCCCCCTTCACCCCATGCCCCCTCTTGGCCTGTGTGGTTTGTGTATGTTGTACTTATCTACTGGAGGTGTTACACTTGCCCTTTTTTGCACTGACACCTTGACCAGCTCCGTCCTTTTTAAATGAGCACCTACACCAGTGCATTTATATGCAGCTTTAGGGTTAGGGATCGCTCCTTCTGAACTGCAGGGTCAAAAATTCACATTTTCCTGGCTAAGTCGAAATATCCCAGTTTCTTTTTGCTCTCGTTTTTAACCCCGGAGTGCAGCTTCAATCCAGTTTCCACCTGCTTTGGGGGCATGCATCATCTCTAAACCCTCTCATAATTATCTTGATAAAGTTGTGTTTTTATACATTATTATTAAACCTAAATATTTCACTTTCTTCACAACTTGCAGCCCAGATGGTTTCCCTAATTTTACTTCCACTTCTTCGTATAGATTCTAATAATAATAATAATAATAAATTTTATTTATATCCCGCCCCTCTGTCACGCAATCGAGGCGGCTCACAACAATTTAAAAATATCATAAAATGTTAAAATACCATCCAAATCCCCCATATTATTATTATTTTTATTATTATTATTCTTTTCTAGCATTTCTGGGGTGAAGCAGACCAGCAATAAGGCACGCCAAAGGCGCTCCGGCCTCAACTGAGCTAGGATCATGGTGACTGGACAGCCTGCTGTTGAAATATGTTTGCAATCTCCTTTCTCTTCCTTATATAGATAAGTATTTCTACTTTGGTTACTCTCCCTTTAAGACTGTCTTCTCTCTTTGGAGATTCTAAACAATTGCTGTCCCCATCTTCCTGCTATCTTAAAGATGGTGAGATTTTTCTCTCTTTACCTGAAATACCACCAGTTAAATTAGGACTTAAGTTTTATGTAAATATATATATTAAAGCCACCATTGTTTTTTAAACTACAAGCTACATGTTTGTTATCTTTTTTGAGTCAGTCTTTATTCTTTAGGAAAGCATAATTAGGCAAAATTGCACTTCTTCTGTTCTGCTAATGAAAGACAAACTCTATATTTTTGTCTCTTTTAAAGGGTTAAGCCTCTGGAAAACTTAAATTACCCCACATTTCAGGGTTATGGGATCCCAGTCTGTTTTTTTAAAACTGCTTCTCCTGAGATATTGAATACAAGAAAAATTTTACTACTCTAATAATAGAGAATGGCTTCTGCTAATCCTAATCTCACTGAGATATTCACTGGAACAAATTAAAAAGCAAGGTCATGGAAAATGCAAATATATTTGACTACAATGGGACTATTTAAAGCAATAAATGGGCAGAGACCTACAGAAGAAGGAATACAACAATGACAGTTTGATGAAAATGCAGAGAAAGCAGCAGCTTATATTTGCTTCTCTACAGATCCCAGCATTGCATACCATATTCAAGGTTTGACTGATGCAAAACAAATATGGGATAAACTAAAGAAAGTGTTTGATTCTACAAGTACTTCTAATCAAACAGCTCTCATGATCAAGCTTGTTAACACAAAGTTGCATCATCCTCAATTTTTAGATCAGCATATTAATGGCTTTATGACACCTTTGTCTGGAGTTACAACACCTGGAGAATCCTTTCCAGAATATGCAAAACTTGGAACTGTTTTTGGCTTGTCTTCCAAAATATTATTCTCCAATAATAAATGCTTTGCAAATTAAAGGAGATATCTCTGCAACATGCTGTTACTCAAGTTGCTGAATTTCAAAACAGGTAAAACTTGATGGAAGACAACTATAATACAAAAACAACAGAGAGCTCAATTTTCTGCAGAGGATTTGCAAAAGGCTTCCTTTTCTCCCAGATCGAATAGAAACAATGTTAACAAATCAAAGCCAAGAGATGAGCAGCAAAAGATGCAAAGCCAGGGGCTGAACACCAAAAGCAAAAACAACTTTCAGAAAAAAGCTTTTAACCCTAAACAGAAATTTTCCAGCCATGTTGGTATTGGTTTGATTCATGAACAATTATTTCAAATTGCTGGAGATAAATATAAAAACCAAGTTTTAATTGATAGTGGAGCAAGCGCACATTACTTCAACAGGAAAGAATGGTTTATTGATTTTTATGCAAATGTAACTTTTCTTATCTATTTTGCTAATGGTCAAGAAGTTTTTGCACAGGAAAAAGGGACTGTTATTTTGCTAAATAAACTTGGTCCTGACAGAATAGGAACCTAACAAATCCCTGATGCTTACTATGTACCAGATGTGCAAGCCTCCTTTTACAGTGTGCAAACCACAACATCAAGAAGCAACCATGTCAGTTTCAGAAACCAATTCTGCTTTGGTTTTCATGGCAAGAATTTGATTTTTAGAGCAAACTTAGGATCTCATGGTTGTCATCAGATGCAGATTTTGCATTCATCTGCAAACAGTGTGACCCAATGTAATCACAAAGACTGTGATTTGCTAATCAAAGTAGAGAAGTATAAAAACTGGCAAATCAAGAGCTTGCAAGAGACTTTAAGTTTAAAGCATGCTCTAACAATGAAAAATGTGTAGAATGTTTAAAAGCAAAGGCCACAAGAGTTCCACACTCTCCTGTTACTGAGAGGCAATCCAACAAAGCATTGGATCTTTTACATGCTGATTTTTCTGGACCAATTAATCAAAAGTCAGCAAGAGGTAAGTCTTATTTTATGACTATTATTGATGATTTCAGCAGGTACATATACACTTATCTTCCCAGAGAGAACAGTCAAGCTTTTCAAAAATTCAAAGAGTACTTTGAGTCTCTAACAAATTTGGCTATAAACCAAAGAGTCTGCAAACAGACAATGGAACTGAATTTCTCAATGCTGAATTTGATTAATTTTTAAAGGAACGTGTCATTGAGCATCAGACAACATACGGTTATTCTCCTGAACAAAATGGTATGGCAGAGAGAATGAACAGAACTTTCAAGGAAATGGCAGTCATCATGCTTTTGAAAGCTAATATGCCTAAACACTATTGGTCTGAAGCCATCATGATGGCTACATACCTGTGTAGCTGACTGCCAACTAAATCCAAAGATGTAACCCCTTTCCAGTTATAGCATGGAGTTAAGCCTAAGTTAAACCAACTAAAGATTTTTGGAAGTAAAGCATTTACCTATACTCCCAAACAGAAAAGAGGCAAATGTGACTGCAGAAGTGAAGGCATTTTTGTTGTTTATGCTAGAAATGGTTATAGAATTCTAAATCCAGATGGACACACAATAAAATTAACAAGTGCTGTTTATATTGATGAAAGGTCACAGCCCAAATCTAATCCAAACCAAGATATCTATTCAGGTTTATTTGC